ATATATTCATATACTACAACTCATTTTCTACTGAAATAAAATTCTACTGCTTGGATGCCTGAACCAATGGAGTATCTGCAGTTTCTAGCATTTACCTGTCAGTGTTCTTCCTGCCTCTGCTCATACTTTCCACAACTTACTTAGGGAAACAATCCTCTCCTCCAGTAATTTTGTGTCAGAAGCTGTAAGTAAATACAGAAAACTAGGACGGGATGAGAGTGAGTTTTGTAGTTTAAAGTGCAACACCCCTGCAACAGGTTGGTTTCAGCATTTTCTGGTTGAGAGATAATAGATATGTTATATATCTAAGCTATCCTATCTCAGATACAAGGTCATAAAATGCTCTCCTCTCTTTTATCAGGTGGCCTTTGTTTCTTCAGCAACTGAATTCTAGCCATCTAATTAGTTCTTCCACATCCAAGCAGTAAAGTTGTCTAGGAGTTTGAATTTCAAGTTGTGTATTCATCTTTCTCTGTGGCTTTTTAGACTTTATCAGGGAGTCCAGAGATGCTGTTTCAGAAATGGCTAGCCAGTTTCAATTCAAACCAAATTTTAAGAAAATGTTTTGAGGTCAGTGAAAATGCAAAGTTGAACATACAGTATGAGTTCAAGCACGTTAAAATGCAGAAGAATAGAATGAAACAAGACTTTTCTCCTTTATTCTTTTATATATTTTATAACAACTATGGATTATAATAGAAAAAGAAAATACACTTTAATTTTAAATATACAGGAATCCTCCTAAGGATCTTGTCTTAAAGCAAATGATTTAATGGGAATTAGAGAAAACTACAAATGTCAAGTGGGATTATTTGGGTTACTTACAAGATTTCCTTCCCAGCAGCACTTTTTTGGTTTAAAGTTTAAGCTTTGATTAAAGCTGTTAACTAAATAAACAAAATTACAAGGTTTCTATTCTGTGATGATTGTGAAGATGTGAATTTTGATCACATTTCTTATAGTACTCATGGTATTTATGAGGCTTCTCTCCTGTGTGGACTCTCTGATGAATTCGAAGAGCTGAGCTGTGACTGAAACCCTTACCACACTTAGCACATTGATAAGGCTTCTCTCCTGTATGGACTCTCTGATGAATGTGAAGATTTGAACTGTGACTAAAGCCCTTTCCACAATCATCACATTTATAGGGTTTTTCTCCTGTGTGGACTCTCTGATGAATGAGAAGATGTGAACGCTGACTGAATCCCTTACCACACTGTTCACATTTATAGGGCTTCTCTCCAGTATGTACTCTTTGATGAGTGTGAAGCTTTGAACTCTTGCTGAAGCCCTTACCACATTCATGACAAATATAGGGTTTTTCCCCTGTATGGACCCTCTGATGAATACGAAGATCTGAGCTGTGACTGAAGTCCTTTCCACAGTCATCACATTTATATGGCTTCTCTCCTGTATGCACTCTCTGATGAATTTGAAGATTTGAGCGCTGGGTAAAACCCTTACCACAGTCGTCACATTTATAGGACTTCTCTCCTGTGTGAACTAACTGATGAATTCGAAGATTTGAACTCTGACTGAAGCCCTTACCACATTCATCACACTTATATGGTTTCTCTCCTGTGTGGACTCTCTGATGAACATGAAGCACTGAACTCCGACTGAAACTCTTACCACACTGATCACACTTAAAAGGTTTATCTCCTATGTGAAATCTCTGGTGAATGTGAAGTAATGAATTTCTACTCAGATCCTTACCACACTCAAATTTACACAGTTTCTCTTCTGCGTGGACTCTTTGATGACCGTGAAGACTAGAGATCTGACAGAAGCTCTTACCACACACATTACATATATAAGGTACCTTCCCTGTATGCACTGTCTGGTGACAGTGAATACCTGAGCTCTGTCTAAAGTGACTGTCAACTTCATCACATCCATACAGATGTTTACTTATGTGGAATTTTGGATGTCTATACAAGTCTGATCTCTGAGAAAAGCATGCTGTGCTGATGGAACATTGATAGAGCTTTTCTCCAAATAGATTTCTGTTGTGGAGAACACACTGTGAGTTCCAGCAATAAATTTCTTTACATTTACTACATCCACAGTATCTCTCTTCCATAGAGTCTTTCAGCAGGTCATTTTGGCATATCTCACCAATGAACTCTGGAAGGGCTTTTCCTATAGGGACGTATGAATGATGAACAATGAGCTTCTGTTCTTTTTCCACAGAGAGATTTTTCCTGGATATGGAAAGATGGTAGCTGTTGCCTTGAAAACCAAGTAACTCACTCATGTAAATTTCTCTTCCATAATCTTGAGTGTGTTCTGTTTCTAGGGACTGCCAAGGTATAAACTTCTTATATTTAAAGCTCCTGAAATTTTTGCCTTCAAAAGTCAGTTCATAGTTCTTACATCTTGGTACTTGTGTAGAGATTATGAACCATTCTCGACAGCGGGAAAGGTCTTGCTGTATTAGGTCCTTGGAATCTACCTTTTGAACAGTTTCCACATAATTCTGATTTTCATGGATCTGGGTGCTGGCATTCCTCCAGCCTTGCCAGTAGGAAAGATTGTCATGTTCTAATTGTCTGAATCTTTCTTCTTGGAGTTTGTAGCTCTCATCCCTCTTTCCTAGAAGAATAAGCAAATAATTCAGTCATGACATACAAGCTATGTTTAAAATTTTCCAACTATCTCAATGACTTCTAGAATTGTAAGAACTTAATATTTATTTATGCAAAGAAATGAGCTGCATTATTTATCCTTCATGATTTTTTTGTTTTGCATGTCTGAGAGTAAGAAAATTAACATTCAGGCTCCTACTTGCAATAAAAAGTTAACATCCAAATGTATTATGTTCCAATTCTTTTTTTTTTTAATTTTTATTGTGAATTGGGTGAAAGTTTACGGAGCAAATTCATTTTCCATACAGCAGTTCATACACATTTTGTTTCATGACACTGACTGCAGTTCCCCACAATGTAACAGCTCTCTGCCCCAAAACCCCAAACTTAAAGCCATCAAGTCAATACTGACTCCCTTTGGGTTTCCAAGATGGTAAATTTTTACAGAAATAGATTGCCCCATCTTCCTTCTGTGGAGCAGCTGGTGGGTTTGAACCACCAACCTTCTCGCTAGCAGTCAAATGCCTTAGGCATCACATCACCAGAGAATTCCTTTTCTGTGCTCCAATTCTTTTGGTCGGTTTTCAAAAACAGGATGGACAGAAAATAACAAGAAATACCACCCACCCCAGAGTTTTGCAAGTTCAATGAAGGCAGGAGTAATGTAATTTATCTTTGTTATCTCCACATACCAAAATCCTTGTTGAATGAAGAAATGCACAAAGAAGAATGAAATCAACAATTAACTGTGATAACAACTGACTGAAAAGGAAAAGAATATGTGTACTAAATATACTTTGGTGTAGGAAAGAAGCATTATAACTCTGGTCGCTCCATTTGGGTCTAAAATTTATTTATTTGCTTGTTTATTCATTTATGCATTCATTCATTCATTGATTCCACAACATTATCTTGAGTACCTATTATCTATCAGGCACTGTTCAAAAACAAGAGAGTAAGGTTGACTGCTTCATGAAAATAAAGACTGAAATTTAATTAGATTCCTATATTTGGGGCATTATTACAAGAAATAAAATATTTGTATTTTTTGTGTTCTAGAATAATGTGGCAGACTGTATGAAACAATGGCTGCATTAACTCTCTACTTTTACCTTTGGATGTTGCCTTTCCACACTGACTCTGGTCTAGGCTCTGCAACATGCTTTGGTCACTGGGGCATCAGCAAAAGTGACCCAAGCAGAGATTTAAAAATTGCTTGTGCAGTGGGGCTTTCCCTCCCTCTCACTGCTTTTGAAAATCCTGTAACTACCCTCATGTAAATGAGCCTGGACTAGCCTGCTTGAAGAGGGACATGGGGCCAGCACATCTCTAACATCCTCAGTAACACTGAGAAAACTTCCATACTCACATTTATGGCATCCAACCCCCCAATCTTATAGATGACTGAGCCCCAATCAAGCACTCCATGACAGAACCACCATCTAGCCAATTAGAATTATGGAAAATAATAAAGTTTGTTGTTTTAAGCCACTAAGTTTCAGATAGTTTATTATACAGCAAATGCTACATTGTACAAATACTGTGAAGAGAAAACAAATCTGGAACTACACAAAACTGACTCTACATGGAGATCTGTGCTTTAAACCAGAAAATGTGTATAAACCAGAAAATGAATTAAAACAATAAAAACAGGTATTTATTAATTACATACCCCAGGTGTCTGAGAAGATGTCTTGCATTGTTTATGTCACCTGATTTAAGAAACATTTTTAAAAATACTTCTTTTACCACTCACCATACAACACACACATGACAACCCAAAATATTCTACAAAACTGGTTCAAGTAGAAACTAAGCCTATTCACTGAGAGCTCGGATAACTTTACCTAGTGACATGACATTTGTGTAGTTTTCCCACATGACCTCCCTGTAGAGCTTCTTTTGAGAAGAACTCAGGAATTTCCACTCCTCCCAAGTAAAAATAACAGTCACATCTTCAAATGTTACTGCCATCTGGTCAAAGCTCAGGCTTTCCAAAAACAAGAAATCTAAGATGGACAAGGAAAAACACAATCAGCAAGTAACCCAAGTGGCAATCCAAATGGAAAAAAAAAAGAACCAATAAGGAAGGAAAAACAAAAAAAGGGCAGAAATAACAACTACTCAAACAGATGAATAAATGCACAATCACTATCATGAGAAACATTTACATAGCAGTTGTCTGATAATCACTGGGTAAGTGGGTCCCATATAATATTTCAATTAACCCACACAGCAATCCTGTGTTCTAAGTACTATTATTATCCCAGCTTTACAAATTAGTAAACAATGATTGAAAGAGATAAAGGAAATTCTCAAAATTACACAGCTAGAGGATAGCAGAGGTGGGAAACAGACCCAGTTGTGCACACCTGGAACCAGAACTATTTGACAATTATAACAATGTTGCTCAATATTGCTTATATTAGTATTCCATGACAGATGAGCCTGTCTTATTTGTGGTGATTTAAAAATGTCCAAAATGTATTTGATATTCTTCTCTTTAAGGGGTTTATCTGAATCACTATGTTTTGAATTAGGGCTGGACTTGGTGATTGGCTTCTGACCAAAAAAAAAAAGCAGAAGGGGAAGTAATGCTGTGGAAAAGAGGTCATAAAAGGCACTACAGTGTCTTTCATTCTTTGTATCTATCTTTCTTTTTCCCTTTCTCCCCCTTCCCCATGTTGTTGTTGTTGCTAGGTACTGTCAACTCGGCTCTGATTCAGAGCAACCCTGTGTACAACAGAATGAAACACTGCCAGGTCCTGCGCCATTCTCACACCCCTGCTATATACTTGAACCCAGTGTCACAACCCCTGTCAATCTCTCATAGAGGGGCTTCCTCTTGTTAGCTGTCTCTCTACTTTACCAAGCATGATATCCTTCTGACAACATGACCAAAACAGGTGAGATGAAGTCTGGCCATTCTTGCTTCTAAGGAACATTCTGGCTGTACTTCTTCCAGGACAGATTTATTCATTCTGTTGGCAGTCTGTCGTATTTTCAGCAGTCTTTGCCAACACCACACTTCAAAGGCATCAGCTCTTCCTCAGTCTTCCATATATGCTGTCCAGCTTTCACATGCATATGTGGCTCTTGAGAATACCGTGACTTGGGTTAGGTGCACTTCAGTCTTCAAAGTGACACCTTTGCTCCTCAACACTTTAAAGAGTTCTTTTGCAGATTTGCCCAGTGTGATACAACATCTGATTTCTTGACCCCTGCTTGCACAGGTGTTGACTATGAACCAACTAAAATGAAATCCCTGCCAATTTCAATCTTTTCTCCAATTATCATGATGTTATTTATTGGTCCGGTTGTGAGAATTTTGTTTTCCTTATGTTGCAGTGTAACTGATACTGAACACTGTAGTTTTGATCTTCATCAGTAAGTGCTTCAAGACTGCTTCACTTTTAGCAAGCAAGGTTGTATCTGCATATTGCAGGCAGTTAATGAGCCTTCTTCTAATCCTGATGCCACAATTTTCTTCACATAGTCCAGCTTCTCAGATTATCTGCTCAGCATAGAGACTGAAGAATAAATATGGCAAAAGGATACAACACTGACGCACATCTTTCCTGATTTTAAAACCATGCAGTATCCCCTTGTTCTATTCGAATGACGGCCTCTTGGTCTATGTACCGTTTCCTAATGACCACAATTAAGTGTTCGGCAATTTCCATTCTCTGCAATGTTATCCATAATATTTTATAATCCACACAGTTGAATGCCTTTGCAGTCAGTAAAACACAGAGGACTTCCAGTAAATGGCGGAATAGGCAGACAAAGTACACAGACCCTCTTCAGCAAAGAAAAGGGGAACCAATTAATACAGATACAGAAGATAATCCTGGAGCCCTGAGCTTTGAAAGGAAGGATAAAGAAGTGGACTAACCTCCAAGCATGAAAACACCGAAAAAGGAGACATACGGAGCTACAGTCCAGCAGTGATCCTAATGGCAAAGACAGCTTGGATATTGCCAAGTGGGATTGTTGGTGGTTGTTGTTTGCCGTCAAGTCAGACCCAACTCACAGCGACCCCTCCTTGGGTTTCCAAGGTGGTATCACTACGGAGGTAGATTGCACAACCTTCCTTCCGAGGAGTGGCTGGTGGCCAACCTTCTGGTTAGCAGTCAAGTGCCTCAGGCACTATGCTACCAGAACTCCCCCAAGTGGGGTTAGGACCTAACAATTAACCTAAAAATTGGCCCTGCTAGCCAGGGGCTGCATGGAGGAATACACTGGTGGCTGATGAATAAAAAGGAGAAGCAGCAAAGAGGGAGATGGGCTGAACTGTGGACTTTTGGCTGTACAGAGGGTGCAGCCATTTTGAATGTTAGATGTAAGATATTTAAAGTGAAAGCATTCTCTCAGATTCCAGGGACCTAAGAATAGGCTATACTTACTGGGGACCACAAGGACATTGCGGACACAACCAACCAGAAAGGTGCAATATTCCCTTTATTACTCTTATACCCCACACCCTCTTGGTGAACGGAGGTGCGGCCATCACTCATTCCCATGCACCTTCTGGGCCAGCGGGAATTCCATCTCCGTCTGCGTGCTCCAATGGAGCGTGGGTACCCTGCCCTTATTTTTTTTTTTTTTTCAGTTTGTTTGTTTTTGTCTCTTTCAAACTTACTACTATTCTTTTTTAGATGTTTTTCTTTCTATTATTCTTCATTCTTCCCTTCCCATGTTCTAGTTTTCAATGCTTCCTCCCCAGATACTGTGGTGTTTTTTCTTTTTTTTTTTTTCATTTTTTGGTGATTTGTTTCTGTTTATGTGGTATTTTTTTGTCTGTTTGCTTTTACTTTTTTGATAGTTTTTTGATCATTGTTTTCGTCTAACTGATTGGAAAACAGTAACCATGCCCATATGACGCAATCACACCCACACCTCCTGCAGCTCTACTTACTGAGTGAGAGCCACCACTTCCTTCACCAACTGGCCAACAGTAAACGACCACAAAGAAAAGCCTGACTCACCCTTAATGGCTCTTCAAATACAATTAATAGAGATCTAAATACAACAATGTCACAATGTTTCGGAGACAACAGACCATCAGTCTACACAAAGAAGCAACATAAAGTGGTAGAAACAAGGGAGCAGGATACAGACCCAGAACACATCCCTAAGGAAGAAGCAGAATTGGAACTCCCGGATAAGAAATTCAAAAGAATTATATTTGGGTATCTTCAAAGGACTGAGAGACAGATCAAGGAAAACACTGACAAAATTAAGGAAAACACAGACAAAACCATAGAATAATTTTGGTAGAAAGTACAAAAACAACATGACAAAATAAATGAAAAATTAGAAACTATACAAAATATACAGGAGCTCTGGTAGCACAGTGCCTAAGGCACTTGACTGCTAACCAGAAAGCTGGTGGTTCAAACCCACCAGCCACTCCTTGGAAGGAAGGTTGGGCAGTAGTGATACTGCCTCAGAAACCCAAGGAGGGGTCGCTATGAATCGGGGCCAACTCCACAGCACATAACAGCAACAACAAACATACAAAATCTACAGGTAGAAATCCAGAAGATTAATACTAAATTTTCAGGAATAAATAACACATTGAAAGGGCAAAGTAGAATTGAATCAATGGAAGACAGAATTAATGAGATTGAAGACAAATACCTGAATACTTCTTTGGAAAGGGATCAATCAGAAAAAAGAACAAAACAAAATGAAGAACACCTAAGGTGAAGAGGAAGACATTCAGAGGTACATGGGAGGTACAGACAACAAAGATGAACCCTTTTGTACATACAGTACTGCATTGTCAGTGAAGGCAAACTAGGACATATGGATGGATAGATGTGTGGACAGGATGAACTATTAGGTATGTCTATGCAGGGGGGAGTGTGCCCAAGACCATGTACAGGGTTGGCAGACAATGTTTCTACAAGTGTATTGCTATGATCTGTAAAAATTCCCAGGTATATAGTAGAGTTGACAAGGGGAAAGGTTGTAGTCACTTCTTGGCTACAGCCAGCTACCCAGAGGGAGTGAGCAGTTGGACCTGTGGGCACGGGACATCAAGATCAATTGGCATAACATACGACATGTTCTGGTTACCTAGTGCCGCTCTGACAAGAAATATACCACAAATGGGATGGCCTTAACAAACAAACAGGAGTTTATTCAAATTGTTGGAGGCTTTAGGTCCAAGTTCAAAGTACCAGGCACTAGGGGCTGAGTGAAAGCACCTCAACCTTGGGGTCCAACTCTGCCTCCTGCTCCCAGCCCACTGGAGCTAGAGGCGTTTCTTCACTCAGACAGCTGCTGCCTGCTAAGGCTGAGAAGCCCCAAGCTTGACAAGTAAAAAGGCACAGTCCCAATGTTACCAAACCACATGGTAGGCCATTAACTTAAGTCCATTGTAAGTCTCAAGGTTGGCAGAGCATGGCAGGCTGCTGAGCAATGACAGGGCTGCATGCAGGGTCCAAGTGTGCCACAGGCTAGAGACCATTCCCAAGGTTTCTCCTTATATACAGGAAGCAGACTACATCCCAAAAGCAGATACTCAGCTGCTTGTGCTAGACTCCACCATAGAGTTGATTGCCAGTCTCATCATGGGGAGTAACTACCATCAGCTGCCCAGCCACTCAACCAGGCCCAGCCAAGTTGACACACAAACATAACTACCACAATTCCACCCCTTGTCAATTTGGCATCTGTACAGATCTTCATTGGGTGACATCTGTACAGATCTCCTCTGCTTGACATTTGATCCAACAACTTGGGACTTACCAGCTTCTATAAGTGCGTGAGCCATTTTCCTAAGATAAATTTATCTCTCTATCTCTCTCTATATATATATAAGCTTTACTGGTTTTGTTCCTCTAGAGAACTCAGTCTTACACACTACACAAAACACTGTCCCACATCCTACTTTGGCGAGTAGTAACTGGGATCTTAGAAGCTTGCAAGCAGCCATCTAGATGCAATGATGGGTCTCCTCATCCAGAGCAAAGAATGAA